AGGACAGGTGTGTTGGGATTCCATGTTTGGCCAGGACAGGTGTGTTGGGATTCCCGGTTCGGCCAGGACAGGTGTGTTGGGATTCCCCCCCGGTTCGGCCAGGACAGGTGTGTTGGGATTCCCTGTTCGGCCAGGACAGGTGTATTGGGATTCCCCCCCGGTTCGGCCAGGACAGGTGTGTTGGGATTCCTCCCCGGTTCGGCCAGGACAGGTGTGTTGGGATTCCCTGTTCGGCCAGGACAGGTGTGTTGGGATTCCCGGTTCGGCCAGGACAGGTGTGTTGGGATTCCCCCCCGGTTCGGCCAGGACAGGTGTGTTGGGATTCCCTGTTCGGCCAGGACAGGTGTGTTGGGATTCCCGGTTCGGCCAGGACAGGTGTGTTGGGATTCCCCCCCCCCCGGTTCGGCCAGGACAGGTGTGTTGGGATTCCCCCCCCGGGACAGGTGCGTGCGGCGGGGGTGGAGGGGGGGGCAGGACCGCCGGGACCCCCCTCCCGACAGCGGGTCCGCCCGGAGCTGGTCCCGGTCCCGCGGGAGGGTCCGAGCTGGACCCGAACCCCCCTCCGGGCATCCCGGGGGGGCACCGGGGCTCGCTGGCAGAGCCCCCTCCTTTTTTTCCCATCGGGAAAAGGGGGTCTGGGGGCTCGTCCAGGGGGCAGGGAGGGCTGGGGGTCGTTCCCCTTCTCTGGCTGCCGGCGGGTTCGTGCCAGTGGTGGTGCCCGCGGGGTGTCCCTTTCCTGGAATGAGTCACCCGCTTCCACCTCGGGTAACAAGGACTTTTTGCCTTCGGGATCTTTCCAAACACAGAGGGATTTTTTATTCTGCTGTCAGACTCCTAGGGGAGGTTATGGGGGGGTGGATTTGGTGCGTTCAGGTGGCTAAATCACAGCCCTTCCCTTCCCTAACATCTGGCACACCTCTGGCATCCCCGTCCCCTCCTCCATCTCGTCTGCACTCGGTGCCGCCTCCCACGTGTCCCGTTGCAGAACGCTCACGGTCCTGTTAAAATTTTAACGCCTGTTTTCCTGAAGTGACTGGGGATAAATCACTCGGAAGGAGCAGCAAAGAAAGCCCGGAGATGCTTGAACACCCCAAAGCCGTAAAATGAATGAGAAAGCCCCAAGAATGTGGAATGGCGTAAAAAAAATGCGGGAGCACGAGTTTCAGGGCATCTCAGGGCTCTGTTTTGTGTCATTTCTGGCGACTGAGATTCCAGATACGCTGCTTCTCTTTCCATTTGAAGGTCCCAGCAGCAGGTGCTGCTTTTACAAAGATTTTTTGCCAAAACAGGCCTGATTTGGCTCAGTGTGCCCGTGGCTGTGATGGAGGAAACGGCAGGGAAACATTAAAAACCCAACGGGGAGGAGGTGCAGCCCCAAACTGGGATGGCTGGAGCTGCACTGGGAATGCTCAGGCCTCCAAAGCAGGGTTATTTTCTGAACAATTGCCCCTCGGTTTTGTTTCCCTGAACTGTCCTTCCGTGTGTCAATGGGCACCTGTTCCCTGTGCCAAGGGAGCTCCCGTGAATGCCCCGCTCCTGTTTCCCGGGCACAGCTGCCTGTGTCTGTGAAAGGCCATTTAAACTGCAGCAGGGCCTCAGGTGAGCTCCCTTTGGCTGGAGATTAGTCACAAAACAAAGTTCAAACTGTGGCATGGCACGGCTCATTCAGCATTGGGGTTTTTTTGGTGTGGACAGGATTCTTTTTGTAAGATTTTTTTTTTTCCTTCTGTCTGTAACCTCTGTGTGTGTGAGACTGGGAGCTGCATCCTGCAGTCACGGGAACACTGGTTCATTTGTGCAGGCAATATGATTTTTAAGAAGTGGAGGAGATGGAAATGAGCCCCTTGTCTCTGTGGGTGGTGCTTTTGTGCAGCTGTCAAAGGCCAGACAAGTGCAGAGCATCCTCCTCTCAGTGCAGCCTGGACAGAGGTTCGCAGGGGAATGGAGGGGGGTGACTTGGTGATGCAAAATGTGCTCAAAAAAAAAGCAGGAATTTCAGAAAGTAACTGCAGTCCGAGGTTCTCTTGCTGATTGGAAGGGGCTCTGGGTGCCTCTCACGTTGATAAGTGGTGTCAGGGTGTTTCAACATCCCCACAAAACCAGCACCACTTGTTTGCCTCCAGAGTTCCACCTGCACGTCTGAGAGCTCCATCAAAATCCCTGTCTGGATAAAATGTGTCCTGGCACGTCTCTCCAGGACATCAGGGGGCTTATGGAATGGGAGAGAAAGGCCTGTTCTCCCTGACTGCATCCCCAGGACAGCGGCAGGAGCAGCCCTGGAGAGGCTCCTCCGCTCCCAGGGCTCCCATTCCAGCCCTGGAGAGGCTCCTCCACTCCCAGTGCCAGCTCCAGTGCTCCCATTCCAGCCCTGGAGAGGCTCCTCCATTCCCAGTGTTCCCATTCCAGCCCTGGAGAGGCTCCTCCACTCCCAGTGCCAGC